CATCCCTGTATGTGTAGTTTATGAATCTGTGTCGAGTTTTTAACCTCAGCATCCAGGTTATTGGGAAAAAACAACATTGTACAACAATATTTTACAACGTAACTTTGAAGTTGCAACAACCGAATGTTGTGAAATCGTGAAAAATTTTAAAACGTCATAAATCGTTGGTCAAAATTATCCGTCATCCTACATTTTTCACGAATTTCTTCAAATTAATGAACGTTTTTGTGAAAAAACTGGGTATAGATTAATCGATCAGTCCTTTCCTCCGTGCTGAGGACACAAAATCAACCAAATTTCATTTTTTTTTAATCGCTGATTTTTGTGCTAGTAGTTGAATTCGGTCGAAGTATAAACATAAACAGTTGAAGTTACGCATATGGTGCGAAATTGAAATTGTTTACATTTTTCGCGTTAGTTCGCTATATATATTTCATATTTAAAGACGTAGGGGTTGCGGGGATGTCAATTACGACACTTTATAGAGGTTAACAGTTATCACAAAACGAAATCGTAGAATCTAATTTTATATATTTTTAAAGCAGCGGAATTTATCGGACCGTACTTCAAAAGCGAGGGAATTTCGGTCAAAATGACCTTCCATAATTTTTTTACTAGCTTTGTTTTCTTGGTAGTGTCATCAACATTCCAAAAACAACATAATTTTTCCAAAACGCCAGTGTCGCCAGCAAAACCGAAAATAAGAATAGTAATAATAATACCCAAAAAAACATCTGTATAAAATACCACAGGGCCCCACTTTATAAATTCACGGTGGACCCCCATGTCTGTGTCTGTCTCTTTATCTATCTGTTTGCCCGTGTGGATTTTGTTTAGACATATAATAATCTCTAAAACTACCGGACAGATTGTTACATTTTTTTTATTGAAAATTATACATATATAATTACAATAATTGTGGAGTCCCATTTGACTTACAATTTCGTGCTGAATAAAAAACAATTGCGCGAAACGGCATCTAAATAAATTGAATTTGGAAAATAAGCTAGGAATGCTAGTCAGTAATATTGACAACCACGTGTAGAGATTTTCGGTTACAGATCATTAGGATTGGAAAGTACAGCAGGTGGAATATTTAGGGTCACTCGACCGGCTTATTTCGTACCTGGAGTGTCCTAATCCCTTGACTGATAAGAGCACCCATGTAAGCTCTACAAAAATTTTACCCGTCCCTATTGGAATTTCAAATTTAAAATCCAGAAAAATAACAACAAAATCGACATGCACTAACTAAAGAAATTATACACCGGAAAAACTTTATAACGAAATAAATTTTGCAGTTCAATGAAAACTGGATACGATTACAGGACCAAAATGTGTAGAAAATGAATAACAACAAATGTTTGTCTTACAACTGCGCCTGCGCAGTAGAAATAAATCACCTTCTTCTCGTCCGAGAGCTTCTTATCATTGTTGTTAATATTCTTTGGCCAAAGCTCGAAGGTGATTGTAGACCGAAGTTAAAGTATCGTCCGACCTTAATCACAGTTGAAGTTCTCCGGCTTTTAGACGCGTTGCGTAATTTCTAGTGTATCGGTCTTAGTGTGGTGTTATTAAGGTACGTTAAATTTAGTTTTAATTTCGTAAAATAGAACTTGTTTAGAGGAAAATACAGATGCCACAGTTTTTTTTTCGTGTCAAACATCTAGTGTCAATTGTTTTTCTATTCTATATATTCTATAACTAATGTTTGTGGATGTTTTTTCTTAATAATGTAATACGTTATAACACACTCCTTAATTTTTCACTCGAGATTGTTATAAAGCACACAATAGCTACGTAGCGTAGGTAGCAGCTGTTCTAAAAACAACATTATTTGAAACCCAACATTTTTTTTGTTTTGTGATATTTTAGCATCATACATTTTTAACAGCATTACTTACGCTTCTAAATTTGATATAACTACCTAATTGAAAATTTAATGACGCATCTAGAAACTATCTACTTAGAGTTTGGGTCGTTGACAAAATTACCAGGAACCGAAATTTCAATCCTTTAACGACGTCGGCTTAAAATTTTTGTACTTGACCATCCTGGGTAACAACCCGGATTTTCCCGCTAATAATTCATTTATGGCATTTAAATTGATCTAAAAGTTGGTCCATTTTGAGTGAAAGCACCTTCAAAAATTTTTTCTTACAAGCGTAATAGTTTGTTTCGGCTTGATTTGAGTAATCATTTATCAGATTTTGATTTTGATCGTATTGAATATGTGTTTATTTTTTTGTTTGTCCGTGATGCTCATAATATTATTAAGATAGTCATAGAATTAGAAAATTTCTATTTATGAATAAACACCTGCACAGGAGAGAAGATGGTACAAGCGAAACGGTAAATGTAGGCAGGTAAATAATAATACAATGGTGTACCCAAAGTGCTTCGGCGTCTTCTACGTAGCCCTGTGCAGGTGTTTATTCATAAATAGCAAGTTAGGTTTGCCACTTTTGCTTGCCAGGAGTATACCAGAAATAACTTGCTACCTACATTCCAATCCTAACCATCTGCGACTGAAAGTCTCCACATGTTTATATTATTAATTTATTTTTCAAATTCTAATTATCCAAATGCAGTTACGCGCGTTTTTTTTTCTCAGCGCGAAATTGTAATTCAAACTGGGACACCACATTATCGTAATTAAGTAATGATTAATTTTATTTCAATAATCTATATTAACCAGATTTGCACTAAAAGATAAGATAATAACATGTTTTCTAATATTAACATTATTTTGTTGTTAAACCATTGTGTTTTGAAGTTTTTGTTAATTGAAATTGTCGTGTTGTTGGGTTAACACGTGTCTGTCTGAAATTAAAAAATATCTAAAATTAATATGAAATAAAGGACCGTTTATTTATTTAACTCGCAATTATTTTTCAAATTTTTGGGAGTCCTGAAATGATAAATTTGACAACAATTTTGACAGGATGAAATCCACAACGCATTTTATTTATTTATTTATTTATTTATTTATTTATTTATTTATTTATTTATTTATTTATTTATTTATTTATTTATTTATTTATTTTTCAAAAATAGATATAATGTCAAATTTATGGAATTAATTTCACCACATCAATAATAATCTATAGGTACTTACTAGAGATGTACCGACTGTAGGTCCGGCCGACTAGCCGATTGTTCGGCCAGTAAAAACCGACTAGTCGGCCGACTGTTCGGCTTTGCTAAAACCGGTTTATGAATGCGACAAACAGTGTGTTTTTTTTTCTATTTCTCTGACTACCTTAAAGATTTGTTCTATTTTAATAAAAGGAATAACTAAAGTTTCTTTGTTTTCCAAAAAATGTGTTAAATTTGTTTGGATAATTTTAACATTTAATTTTTTTTAGTAACTCAGTACAAAAACAAAGAATAACACATTTTAAAGGGCCAGTTTATACAATATTTTAACTGAGATTAAGTTGATCGCGCATTTAACAAGGCCATTAGCGACGTCTGATTGGCGTAGAGTCGGTCACATGGTACTTTAACGCAGGGTTAAAAATTAAATCGCAATTAAATATTTAATTGAGGTTCTGTACACCGGGTTTAATTGTTGTATATACTATTTTAATTTTAATAAAAAAGCCGATCGATCGGCTGTTTAGCCGACGATGAAAAACGGCCGAATAGTCGGCTTATCCGACCGGTCGGCCACTAGTCGGTACATCCCTAGTACTTACAATTTTCCCACAAGCTTTCAGAACAATTCGTCGTTTTCTATTTGAAAAACGTCTTTCTTTCCATCCATTCCTTCAACTTGTCTTTTAAAGACGATTTGACTTTGGACATTTTTAAAAATACTAAGTGATAAATAATTGTTTGATAATTTACCTTTTTTAGTTACACAGTATTGAACTCTTTTTTTTTATTTCAGGAAAGAAATACCTATTTGGCGTTGCAATCACCGTCCACCCATCTACCGCTTCAGAATGGCTGCATATTCGTACCTGGATGTCTCCCCATTTCATCTACAGTTAGATAGAACCCAACCCTCATTGAACAGCTTTCACTACGCTAATAATATTCCACTATACTACAGCACAGACCCCGCGGAAATAAAATTCTGCCTAGACCATGGCTTGGACCCAAATTTTATCCACAAAGACAAGAAGACCATTTTCCGCCTTATTTTGGATGGGTTTCATTGGAACGGAATCTACGATGAAAGCCTAGACGAGACGGTAGCCATGTTACTCTATTATGGAGGCAACCCCGCAATAGAAAGTCGCACTGATAACTGCTCCGAATTGTTTGGTCCATACAGCACGTTCGACTTTGTGTCGCTGCAGATGTATGATCAAGTATCAAATTTTGTTTTATAGGAATTGTTCATGCATACCATGAACGATGACTCCAAGTGTGGCAAACTGCGTTTGCAGACGTTTCTTCACCTAGTCTACAAGCAAAAGTTCTTGGAGAAATCACAAGACCGCAATCACGTGAAAATATTTCTAGTCGATAGATTAATTAACTACGATTTAGAATTTGTGATCAATGACAATAAAGATCACGCAATTTTGCTAATATGTTTGATGGGAATGGATTTCGAGCGCTTCAAAACAGTAGTCCGGAGACACCCGGAGGCTGTAAGAGCTGCTCTGGAGTCACAAGAGGTGCCGAATTGTATTTTTAGATCCTTTTCTGTCTTCCAGGAAAGGATGGAAAATTTATTGTCGACAAACGACTTCTATTTCAATTGCGTTATAGAATTTTTCGAAAGAGTGGACGGCAGAAGTATTTGTGAATCTGGAGATTCAGAACTAGAAGCCACAACATTCGTTTTGTTCATGGTCGAGTATGGTATGAAATGCGATATTGACATGTGTCCCATTGTCTACAGGAGGTTCGGTGATTGCATCCTCTTTCGGACTTTACTGCACGCAAGTCTCCTAACGTATCAAACTGTAATGGTCGTATACATTACTTTAAGCGTAGAAGATATCGCTGCATTAATTTCAGAAAAATCGGCCGTTGGTCAGTATACAATTTGGGATGTCCCTCGTTTGAACTTGTCCCCATCATGGTTTTACCAATGGATTCCCTATGATGTACTGCGCTTACTAGATTTCTGCGTTAACCCAAAATTAAGAACTGCCATATTAACGATAGAAAACTTGCCGAAAGTTGTTGCAAAAAAAATAGACGTTCTTCCAAGGGTGCCTTCTTTATTGGAACTGGCTAGAGACGTCTCCAGGAAACACATCGTTGAACGATTTGAGGTGAAAACAGCTAAAGAGTTTTATTCAATAGTGAACGGTCTTCCTATAGGCGAAAGTAACAAGAAAATAATCAAATTTGAAACGCCGTTATACCATATGTACGTGCCTAGTGATGAGGAAGGTAATGACATGGTCGATAACCGTTACAATTTATTGTCACCGCTATCGTCAGGTGACTACAACATTAAAAGTGACAGTGACAGCGACAGAATTGAAGAACTTCTGTATGATATGTACGTGCCGACGGACAGTGAAGAGGGAGAAAGTGACGATGAGAGTGAAAGTGAAAATTTTGAAGAGGATATGTTGTGATTTAGCTGAAAAATGTCTCCCATTTGAAATGTTGTAAGTAAATTTTGTATATTTTTTAAACGTGCAAATTTCATTTTCTTTTAGCACAAATGCGACCGCTGATGTGTGTTATCAGAACGTGCTATATTATGAACATAAACAGTTGAAGTTATTTGATTTATACACATTTCATTCGTCTGCATTTGTGCGAACCGCCCCCTGCCACGATAATATTTACGCCACTGGTTTTTACTGTATGGTTTTGCTAAAATTTCGGGTTACTTTAACCATTGTTTCAGTATATATTCAAAAATCGTAAAAATAAAAAAAAAATGGACAATCGAAAATTTAAAAATTCCGAAAATTGAAAAATTGAAATATGGAAGAACTGAAAACTCAAAAATCGAAAAAAATTAATAATGTAAAAATTGAAAAGTTAAAATTGAAAAATCGAAAAACTGAAAAATCACAAAATTGAACGAAATATTCAAAAGTATGTATTTTGCAATTACGCTCCACTATTTATAACAACGAATGAAAAATTCCTCACAATTGAGATCGGGGCGAGTGGGGAGGGGTTAATCTTCGTTTTTTTTTAAGATATAGAGCTTTCTTCCAACAACAAGATACTTCATATGTTTTCTGTTTCTTGGTAGGAAAAAAGACTTCGTATATTAAGAAAAAATGCACAAAATATAAGCCCCACCCACCCGCCCCTTCTCAATTGTGATGAATTTTTTATTCATCCTGAGCTGAAGGGTGGAGCTTACTTGCAAAATTTGCATTTCTCCACAAGAAATGACCATATGAAACATGTTTTTAAAAGGGTAGAACTTTCTAGGGAAATTTTTAAATTACATTTTTAAAACTAGGAAAGATGTCGCAGAATTGTATAAAAGAAAAACAAAAAATTGAAAAATTTCAAATGGAAAAATTGACGAAACGAAAAATTAAAGAAAAAGTGAAACTGAAAAAACAAATAATTATAAAAACTAAAACGAAAAATTGCAAATTGAAAAATTAAAAATTTAAAACACGAGCAACTCAATTCGAAAAAGTGCAACATCTATAAATTGAAAAATTCAAAAGTTGGAAAGTCGAAAAAATGAAACAAAAAATGAAAGATTGAAGAACTAAAAAATTCAAGTCTATAATAAATTAAAAAAGAAAATGAGGGGTGAAACGCACCATTTTATTTACTTCTAATTTGCCTCTTTTTTGGTGCTAAAAGCATCCAGATTTTTGGGGAAAAATTCAAAACTGTAACATTTTACAACTTAACTTTGAAATTGTAAGGCCTTCCCAAAAAATTATGACATCATCTTAGAATTCTACCGAACAAATATTCTTTAAATTTTATAACATAACATATTCTTGTATGTGTGATTTATGAATCTGTGTCGAGTTTTCACCCTCAGCATCCAGGCTATTGGGAAAAAACAACATTGTATAACAATATTTTACAATGTAACTTTGAAATTGCAAAAACCGAATGCTGTGAAATCGTGAAAAATTTTAAGGTTATTTGAAACTTCATAAATCGTTGGCCAAAATTTATCCGTCATCTTACATTTTTCCCGAATTTCTTCAAATTTATGAACCTTTTTGTGAAAAAAACTGGGTATGAATTCATCAATCAGTCCTTTCCTTTGCGTTGAGTACACAAAATCAACCAAATGTCATTTTTTTTAATCGCTGATGTTTGTGCTAGTAGTTGAATTTCGTCCTTATCATCCTTTTTCGTCCTTATCGTCCTTTTTCGTCCTTTTCGTACTTTTCGTATTTTTCGTCCTTTTTGTATTTTTTATCCTTTTCGTCCTTTAAGTCCTTTTTGTTCTTTTAGTCCTGTCGGTCCTTTCAGTAGTTTTAGTCCTTTTAGTCAACAGGAAAGTTAAACATGTTTCCAGTTTCTTTTTGGGAAAAGACGTTATATTCCTTTCTCGTCCTTTTCGTTCTTTTTCGTCCTTATTATCCTTTCTCGTTCTTTTCATAGTTTTTCATCTTTTTCGTCCTTTTTCGTCCTTTTCGTCCTTTTCCCTTCTTTTGTCGTTCTTTTCGTCCTGTTTGGCCTTTTTCGTCCTTGTTCGTCCTTGTTCGGCCTTTTCGTCCTTTTTCATTCTTTTCGTCCTTTTTCGTCCTGATTATCCTTTTTCCTCCTTTTCGTCCTTTACATCCTTTTTCGTCCGTTTTCGTCTTTTTCCTACTTTTTGTCCTTTTTCGTTCTTCTCGTCCTTTTTCGTCGTTTTCGTAGTTTTTCGTCCTTTTTCGTCCTTTCTCGTCCTTTTCCGTCCCTTTTCGCCCTTTGTCGTCTTTATCATCCTTTTTTGTCCTTTTCGTGGTTTTTCTTCCTTTTTCGTCCTTGTTCGTCCTTTTTCGTCCTTATCGTCCTTTTTATAATAATATTAATATTAATAAAAATAAAAATAATTTTTATTGAACCAATTTTAAATAAATAAATTAAAAACATTGGTACAAAAGGTACTGATACAGGAAAAACTGATATTAATCTGACCTGACATTAGTATTAAATGAAGTTTATTTATTAATAATTTAAAGCAGACCTAAATTTATATTTGGTATTTCCCCATTCAGCAGTCGTTGTTTTAGCAGTTTCTCTGAAGTTTGATTAAAAATGGGGCTCTTCTCTACGCCAATGACATTATTTATAACATACGCCGCCAAGTAGGAAAATGAAGACTTAAAACATAGGTACCAGGTTATGCGTGGTATGTCAGCTGAAAAACACACATTTCTTAAGTTTTTATTGTGGATAGTCGATCGCAGCACTATTTTGTTAATCAAATAAGAAGGTGCTGATGTGTGCAACACTTTGTAAACAATTAAGACGTAATGAATGAAACGTCGTTCACCTGACTTCAGCCAATTTAGTTGTCTAATGAAGGGGGTCACATGAGCAAAACGTGGAACAGTTAATGTATACCGGGTACAAAAATTTTGAATTTTCTGTAGCCGATATTTTTGCAGCTGAGATAGACAAAGGCCGTATACTGTGTCAGCATAATTTAAATGAGATAAAATCAAAGTATCTGACAGCCGCTTTTTAGATTTAGTATCCAGAAAAAATCTGTAAGGACTTATTTGCTTAAAAGATAAAAAGGTTTTTTTGCAAATGTGATTAACATGTTCCACAAACTTTAGTTGGCTATCAAGCATAACTCCCAGACTCTTAACCACAGAGGAACTTTTCAAGACATGATTGTTTACTTTTAATTCAACACGATTTCTACACTGAAGAAGCTTTGTAGGCATACCAAAGAGAATCGTTTCACATTTACTGTGATTGAGTTGCAAGCAGTTGTTTACGCACCATTGCTGTACATGTTCTAGATCTCTATTTATAAGGTTAACACACGCTTCAGTTTCTTCAGAATTAAAAGTAAGATAAAGTTGTACATCATCTGCATACATGTGTACACAGCAATGTTTAATAACTTTTACTAAGTCGGCAGAATATAAAGGAAAGAGAAGAGGTCCAAGTACCGATCCTTGGGGAACCCCGGAATTTAAAGCCATCATATTTGATTTGACCATTACAGTCAACTAACTGAGCACGATTAAATAAATAATTCTAGAACCAGTTCAAGGTGGCTCCATACATTCCATAATAGTTAAGTTTGGTAACCAACAGAGATATATTGAGGCTATCAAATGCCTTGGACATGTCAAGCAGAGTTAGCAAAATGACTTTACCAGTGGAGAATCCACTAAAAATGTCATCAACCAAGGAAATGAGAACTGTAGATGTACTGAAGTTTTCTCGAAATCCGGACTGTTGCGACGGAAGAATGTTTTTCTTCATTAGAAATGTTTTAAATTGAGCACATAGTGCAAACTCAGCCACTTTTAGCGTGTTACAAATCAGACTTATTTTCCTAAAATCATCTAAAGAAACAGATGTTTTTTTCTTAGGAATCGGCTTCACCAAAGAGAAGTTCCACAGTTTAGGGACTTGTCCCTGTTCAAAAGCGAGGTTGATAATATGAGTGAGTGGTTCACTAAACCAAGTAGAAGCTAACTGAAGCATTTTACCTGTAATGCAATCCACACCAGCACAGGTTTCAAGTTTGAAACAAAGGTCTCAATTGTTGCAACATGTACCGGTTTGAATAAAAATTGATCGGATGAAAAGGATTGCATAGTAAAAGATGAAAGATATTGCTGCTCACCACAGCTGGAAAACTTAGGGACAGATTCAATAAAGTGTTTATTTATGTCATTTACATTAAATTCAGTAGTTTCATCCTTGTCGTCCCTTTCCGTCCTTTTCGTCCTTCTCATCCTTTTTCGTCATTTTCGTCCTTTGTCGTCGTTTTCGTCCTTATCATTCTTTTTCGTCCTTATCGTCCTTTTTCGTCCTTGTCGCCCTTTTCGTCCTTTTCATCTTTTAGTCCTTTTAGTCCTTTTCTTTCAACAACAGGAAAGTTAAACATCTTTTCAGTTTCTTTTTGGCAAAAGAAGACTTCGTCTATTAAAAAAATAGATAAAATATAAGCACACAATTTTTTGGCACAAAGAACAAGAGATATAATAAAAAACATAGTGTCAATATATTATTCAATACTTTTGGACTGTACTTCTAATGTAAGCCACGTAGAATAACTTGTACTTTCTCGTTTTTCTCGAAAAACTGAAGAAACGAAAAACTGAAAAATTCAAAACTCGTGAAATTTCAAATCGAAAACTGCAAACTTTCAAAATTGAAACTCGAAAATTTAAAAAGAAAACTCGAAGAGTTGCCGCAGAATTGTAGAAAAAAAAAAAACAAAAAATTGAAAAAACAAAAATAAAGAAAATAAAAAACTAAAACGAAAAATTGCAAATGGAAAAATTAAAAATTGAAAACTCGAGGAACTCAATTCGAAAAATTGCAAAATCTATAAATTGAAAAACTCAAAAGTTGAAAACTGAAGTTTTTGCACTGGTAATGTTTTGGAAGTCCTGAAATGATAAATTTGACAACAATTTTGACAGCATGAAATCCACAACGCATTTTAGTTATTTATTTATTTATTTATTTATTTATTTTTCAAAAATAGATATAATGTCAAATTTATGGAATTAATTTCACCACTAGTTTTCCCATTGGAATTTTGCAACATTAATTATAATCTATAGGTACTTACAATTTTCCCACAAGCTTCCAGAACAATTCGCCGTTTTCTATTTGAAAAACGTCTTTGTTTCCATCCATTCCTTTAACTTGTCTTTTAAAGACGATTTGACTTTGGGATTTTTAAAAATACTAGGTGGTAAATAATTTTTAACACTTTTACACTTTTGAACATTACTTTACGAAAATCCAACACGAACCATATGATAGGGGAAAAGAACTCGAAAAGAAAGTTGTAGGAGGACTTGGTGTATTTAATACTTCAAAGCTCTTCCTAGAAAAGCAATAGACGTTGGTACTTAGATCTGTAATAAATTGTATTGTTTGATAATTTACTTTTTTAGTTCCACAGTATTGAACTCTTTTTTTCATTTCAGGAAAGAAATAAATATTTGGCGTTGCAATCACCGTCCACCCATCTACCGCTTCAGAATGTCTGTATATTCGTACCTGGATGTCTCCCCATTTCATCTACAGTTTGATAGAACCCAACCCTCTTTGAACAGCTTTCACCACGCTAATAATCTTCCACTATACTACAGCACAGACCCCGCGGAAATAAAATTCTGCCTAGACCATGGCTTGGACCCAAATTTTATCCACAAACACAAGAAGATCATTTTCCGCCTTATTTTGGATGGGTTTCATTGGAACGGAATCTACGATGAATGCCTAGACGAGACGGTAGCAATGTTACTCTATTATGGAGGCAACCCCGCAATAGAAAGTCGCACTGATAACTGCTCCGAACTGTTTGGTCCATACAGCGCGTTCGAATTTGTGTCGCTGCAGATGTATGATCAAGTATCAAACTTTGTTTTCCAGGAACTGTTAATGCATACCATGAACGATGACTCTAAGTGTGGCAAACTGCGTTTGCAGACGTTTCTTCACCTAGTCTACAAGCAAAAGTTCTTGGAGAAATCACGAGACCGCAATCACGTGAAAATATTTCTAGTCGATAGATTAATTAATTACGATTTAGAATTTGTGATCAATGACAATAAAGATCACTCATTTTTGCTAATGTTTGATGGGAATGGATTTCGAGCGCTTTAAAACAGTAGTCCGGAGACACCCGGAGGCTGTAAGAGCTGCTCTGGAGTCACAAGAGGTGCCGAATTGTGTTTTTAGATCCTTTTCTGTCTTCCAGGTAAGGATGGAATATTTATTGTCTACAAACGACTTCTATTTCAATTGCGTTATAGAATTTTTCGAAAGAGTGGACGGCAGAAGTATTTGTGAATCTGGAGATTCAGAACTAGAAGCCACAACATTCGTTTTGTTCATGGTCGAGCATGGTATGAAGTGCGATATGGACATGTGTCACATCGTCTACAGAAGGTTCGGTGATTGCATCCTCTTTCGCACTTTACTGCACCTAGATATAGAATTAGATAAGAACAAGTACAAAAGTCTCCTAACGTATCAAACTGTAATGGTCGTATACCTCGTAAACATTACTTTAAGCGTAGAAGATATCGCTGCATTAATTTCAGAAAAATCGGCCGTTGGTCAGTATACAATTTGGGATGTCCCTCGTTTGAACTTGTCCCCATCATGGTTTTACCAATGGATTCCCTATGATGTACTGCGCTTACTAGATTTCTGCGTTAACCCAAAATTAAGAACTGCCATATTAACGATAGAAAACTTGCCGAAAGTTGTTGCAAAAAAAATAAACGTTCTTCCAAGGGTGCCTTCTTTGGTGGAACTGGCTAGAGACGCCTCCAGGAAACACATCGTTGAAAGATTTGAGGTGAAAACAGCAAAAGAGTTTTATTCAATAGTGAACGGTCTTCCTATAGGCGAAAGTAACAAGAAAATAATCAAATTTGAAACGCCGTTATACCATATGTACGTGCCTAGTGATGAGGAAGGTAATGGACATGGTCGATAACCGTTACAATTTATTGTCACCGCCATTTTCAGGTGACTACAACATTAACAGTGACAGTGACAGCGACAGAATTGAAGAACTTCTGTACGATATGTACGTGCCCACGGACAGTGAAGAGGTAGAAAGTGACGATGAGAGTGAAAGTGAAAATTTTGAAGAGGATATGTTGTGATTTAGCTGAAAAATGTCTCCCATTTGAAATTTGGTAAGTAAATTTTGTATATTTTTTAAACGTGCAAATTTCATTTTCTTTTAACACAAATGCGGCCGCTGATGTGTGTTATCAGAACGTGCTATATTATGAACATAAACAGTTGAAGTTATTTGATTTATACACATTTCATTCGTCTGCATTTGTGCGAACCGCCCCCTGCCACGTTAATATTTACGCCACTGGTTTTTACTGTATGGTTTTTCTAAAATTTCGGGTTACTTTAACCATTGTTTCAGTATATTGGAAAATCGTGAAAATAAAAAAAAAAAATGGACAATCGAAAATTTAAAAATTCCGAAAACTGAAAAATTGAAATATGAAAAAACTGAAAACTCAAAAAATCTAAAAAAATTAATAATTTAAAAATTGAAAAGTCAAAATTGAAAAATCGAAAAACTGAAAAATCACAAAATTGAACGAAATATTTAAAAGTATGTATTTTTCAATTACGCTCCACCCCTAACAACGGAGGGGTTAATCTTCGTGTTTTTTTTTTTAATACATAGAGCTTTCTTCCAACAACAAGATACTTCATATGTTTTCTGTTTCTTGGAAGGAAAAAAGACTTCGTATATTAAGAGAAAATGCACAATATATAAGCCCCACCCACCCACCCCTTCTCAATTGTGATGAATTTTTTTATTCATCCTGAGCTGAAGGAAGGAGCTTAGTTGCAAAATTTGCATTTCTCTACAAGAAATGACCATATGAAACATGTTTTTAAAAGGGTAGAACTTTCTAGGGAAATTTTTAAATTACATTTATAAAACTAGGAAAGATATCGCAGAATTGTATAAAAGAAAAACAAAAAATTGAAAAATTTCAAATGGAAAAATTAACGAAACGAAAAATTAAAGAAAAAGTGAAACTGAAAATCAAAAAATTATAAAAACTAAAACGAAAAATTGCAAATTCAAAAGTTGGAAAGTCGAAAAAACAAAACAAAAAAATGAAAAATTGAAGAACTGAAAATTTCAAGTCTATAATAAATTAAAAAAGAAAAGGTGGGGTGAGACGCACCATTTTACTTACTGCTAATTTGTCCCTTTTTTTGGTGCTATAAACATACAGATTTTTGGGGAAAAATTCAAAACTGTGTAACATTTTACAACTTAACTTTGAAATTGTAAGGCCTTCCCAAAAAATTATGAGATCATCTTGGAATTCTGCCGATCAAATGTTCTTTAAATTTTATAAAATAACACATTCTTGCATGTGTGGTTTATGAATCTGTGTCGAGTTTTTACCCTTAGCATCCAGGCTATTGGGAAAAAACAACATTCTATAACAATATTTTACAATGTAACTTTGAAACTGCAAAAACCGAATGCTGTGAAATCGTGAAAAATTTTAAAATTATTTGAAACTTCATAAATCGTTGGTCAAAATTTATCCGTCATCTTACATTTTTCCCGAATTTTTTCAAATTTATGAACGTTTTTGTGAAAAAAACTGGGTATGAATTAATCGATCAGTCCATTCCTCTGCGCTGAGGACACAAAATCAACCAAATTTCATTTTTTTAATCGGTGTTGTTTGTGCTAGTAGTTGAATTTCGTCCTTATCATCCTTTTTCGTCCTTATCGTCCTTTTCGTCCTTTTCGTATTTTTCGTCCTTTTCGTCCTGTTTGTATTTTTTGTCCTTTTCGTCCTTTTTGTTCTTTTAGTCCTGTCAGTCTTTTCAGTAGTTTTAGTCCTTTTAGTCCTTGTCTTTCAACAGGAAAGTTAAACATGTTTTCAGTTTCTTTTTGGGAAAAGACCTTTCATCCTTTCTTGTCCTTTTTACAGTTTTTCGTCTTTTTCGTTTTTTTTCGTCCTTTTTCGTCCTTTTCGTCCTTTTCTGTCCTTTCTCGTTCTTGTTATCCTTTTTCGTCTTTTTCGTCCGTATTATACTTTTTCGTCCTTATTCGTCCTTTGTCGTCCTTTTTCGTCCTTGTTCGTCCTTTTCGGCCTTTTTCATCCTTTTCGTCCTTATTGTCCTTTTTCGTCCTTTTTCATCCTTGTTCGGCCTTTTCGTCCTTTTTCGTTCTTTTCGTATTTTTCGTCCTTTTCCCCCTTTTCGTCCTTTTTGTATTTTCTGTCCTTTTCGTCCTTTTCATCTTTTGGTCCTTTTAGTCCTTTTCTTTCAACAACAGGAAAGTTAAACATCTCTTCAGTTTCTTTTTGGGAAAAGAAGACTTCGTCTATTAAAAAAATAGACAAAATATAATAAGCACACAATTTTTTGACACAAAGAACAAAAGATATAATAAAAAACAGTATCGATATATTATTCAATAATTTTGCAATGTACTTCTAATGTAAGCCACGTAGAATAACTTGAACTTTCTCGTGTTTCTCGAAAAACTGAAGAAATGAAAAACTGAAAATGTAAAAATTAAAAAATTAAAAATTCAAAACTCGGAAATTTCAAATCGAAAACTGCAAACTCTAAAAATTGAAACTCGAAAATTTAAAAATGAAAACTCGAAGAGATGCCGCAGAATTGTTGAAAAGAAGAACAAAAAATTGAAAAAAGTAAAATTGAAAAAACAAAAAATTATAAAATCGGAACATTGAAAAAGTGTAAAAATAAAGAAAATAAAAAACAACGAAAAATTGCAAATGGAAAAATTAAAAATTGAAATCGAAAAAATGAAAGATTGAAGAACTGAAAAATTCAAGTCAAAAAAGCTGAGAGACGGTTATTTACACAAATGGATTTTACTTTAAAAGGGATATCAGAAAACAAAAATTGCAAAAACAAAATAAAATTGTTCGAAAAAGCGGGATTTATTTGGCTGCACTTCAGAGGCGAGGAAAGTTCTCTTGAAATAACCTTCGACTAGTTTTTATTAACACCGAAATTTTCTCAAGATTGTTTAGAAAATGTATTTTCCCAAATTCGGTCAAGACATCCGGCAAATATTTTGTAATTTGAGAGATCATTTAAAGAATAATAATTTTTGCACTGGTAATGTTTTGGAAGTCCTGAAATGAGAAATTTGACAACAATTTTGACAGCATGAAATCCACAACGCATTTTATTTATTTATTTATTTATTTATTTATTTATTTATTTTTCTAAAATAGATATAATGTCAGGTTTATGGAATTAATTTCACCACATTAATAATAATCTATAGGTACTTACAATTTTCCCACAAGCTTTCAGAACAATTCGTCGTTTTCTATTTGAAAAACATCTTTGTTTCCATCCATTCCTTCAACTTGTCTTTTATGGACGATTTGACTTTGGACATTTTTAAAAATACTAGATGATAAATAATTGTTTGATAATTTACCTTTTTTAGTTACACAGTATTGAACTCTTTTTTTCATTTCAGGAAAGAAATACCTATTTGGCGTCCACCCATCTATCGCTTCAGAATGCCTGTATATTCGTACCTGGATGTCTCTCCATTTCATCTGCCTAGACCATGGCTTGGACCCAAATTTTATCCACAAAGACAAGAAGACCATTTTCCGCCTTATTTTGGATGGGTTTCATTGGAACGGAATCTACGATGAACGCCTAGACGAGACGGTAGCCATGTTACTCTATTATGGAGGCAACCCCGCAATAGAAAGTCGCACTGATAACTGCTCCGAATTGTTTGGTCCATACAGCGCGTTCGACTTTGTGTCGCTGCAGATGTATGATCAAGTATCAAATTTTGTTTTCCAGGAACTGTTCATGCATACCATGAACGATGACTCCAAGTATGGCAAACTGCGTTTGCAGACGTTTCTTCACCTAGTCTACAAGCAAAAGTTCTTGGAGAAATCACAAGACCGCAATCACGTGAAAATATTTCTAGTCGATAGATTAATTAACTACGATTTAGAATTTGTGATCAATGACAATAAAGATCACGCATTTTTGCTAATATGTTTGATGGGAATGGATTTCGAGCGCTTCTAAACAGTAGTCCGGAGACACCCGGAGGCTGTGAGAGCTGCTTTGGAGTCACAAGAGGTGCCGAATTGTATTTATAGATCCTTTTCTGTCTTCCAGGAAAGGATGGAATATTTATTGTCTACAAACGACTTCTATTTCAATTGCGTTATAGAATTCTTCGAAAGAGTGGACGGCAGAAGTATTTGTAAATCTGGAGATTCAGAACTAGAAGCCACAATATTCGTTTTGTTCATGGTCGAGTATGGTATGAAGTGCGATATGGACATGTGCCACATCGTCTACAGAAGGTTCGGTGATTGCATCCTCTTTCGGACTTTACTGCACCTAGATATAGAATTAGATACGAACAAGTACAAAAGTCTCCTAACGTATCAAACTGTAATGGTCGTATACCTCGTAAACATTACTTTAAGCGTAGAAGATATCGCTGCATTAATTTCAGAAAAATCGGCCGTTGGTCAGTATACAATTTGGGATGTCCCTCGTTTGAACTTGTCCCCATCATGGTTTTACCAATGGATTCCCTATGATGTACTGCGCTTACTAGATTTCTGCGTTAACCCAAAATTAAGAACTGCCATATTAACGATAGAAAACTTGCCGAAAGTTGTTGCAAAAAAATAGACGTTCTTCCAAGGGTGCCTTCTTTAGTGGAACTGGCTAGAGACGCCTCCAGGAAACACATCGTTGAAAGATTTGAGGTGAAAACAGCAAAAGAGTATTATTCAATAGTGAACGGTCTTCCTATAGGCGAAAGTAACAAGAAAATAATCAAATTTGAAACGCCGTTATACCATATGTACGTGCCTAGTGATGAGGAAGGTAATCACATGGTCGATAACCGTTACAATTTAATGTCACCGCCATCGTCAGGTAGAAAGTAACGATGAGAGTGAAAGTGAAAATTTTGAAGAGGATATGTTGAGATTTAGCTGAAAAATGTCTTCCAATTGAAATTTTGTAAATAAATTTTGTATATTTTTTAAACGTGCAAATTTCATTTTCTTTTAGCACAAATGCGGCCGCTGATGTGTGTTATCAGAACGTGCTATAATATGAACATAAACAGTTGAAGTTATTTGATTTATACACATTTCATTCGTCTGCATTTGTGCGAACCACCCCCTGCCACGATAATATTTACGCCAGTGGTTTTGACTGTATAGTTTTTCTAAAATTTCTGGTTGCTTTAACCATTGATTAAGTATATTGGAAAATCGTAAAAAAAAAAATTGGACAATCGAAAATTTAAAAATTCCGAAAATTGAAAAATTGAAATATGGAAGAACTGAAAACTCAAAAAATCGAAAAAAATTAATAATGTAAAAATTGAAAAGTTAAAATTGAGAAATCGAAAAACTGAAAAATCACAAAATTGAACGAAATATCCAAAAATTAGGAAATTAAAAAACTGAGGAACGGAAAAGTCAAAAAAGCAGAGTCGAAAAATCGCAAATTAAAAAATCGAAAAATTGAAAAATCAAAACCTGATAAAAGAAAAATTGAAGAACTGAAGAACTGAAAAATCAAAGTAGAGAAATGGGAATATAAAAAAAATAGATTAATTGAGAAATCCGGAAACTAAAATTTCAGAAACGTCAAAATTTGAAAAATAAAAAAATATTGACGAACTCAAAAATCGAAAAATCTAAAATTTAAAACATTGAAAAGTTAAAATATCCTAAAACTGAAAATGGAGAAATCCAAACATCAAAAAATTAAAAAAATTAAAATTCGAAAATCTAAAATTTAAAAATCGATCGAGAATAGAAAATTTAAAAAATTGGAAAATTGAAAAATCGAATAAATCAAAAATCGAAACATCGAAAAATCGAGAAACCGAAAAGCAAAAAATCGAAAAACCAACAAATCGAAAAATCGAAACATTGTAAAATTAAAATATTGAGACATCGAGAAATCGAAAAATCAAAAAATTGAGAAACCGAAATAGGCCAAAATCGAAAAATCGAAATCTTAAATATGGAAAAATTGATAAAGCTAGAGATTGAATAATCAAAGCATCCGAATCTCAATAATTTGAGATATCAAAAAATTCGGAATTTTGAAGAATTAAAATATAGAACTGGAAACTCGAGAAACCGAAAAATCTAGAAATTTAAAAATTAAAATATGGAAAAGTTGAAAACTTGAGAAATTGAAATATAAAACAATCGAAAAATTGAAAAATCCAAAGTATAAAAAACAAAAAACTGAAAATCCAAAAATAAAAAATTGAAAAATCTAGAAGTCGAAACATCAAAGAATCTAAGTATTGAAAAATCGAAACTTTGAGAAGTGGGAAAATCAAAAATAGATTAATTGAGAAATCAGAAAACTGAAAATTTAACGCAGAAATTTGAAAAATTGAAAAATTTAAATACTGAAGAACTGAAAAGTCAAAAAATCTAGAAAACGAAAAATGTAAAATTCAAAACATTGATTAATTAAAATATCGCAAAATTGAAGAATCGAGAAATCCAATTCAATTTGAAAAATTGAAAAATCAGGACGTTGAAAAATTGGAAAATCCAGAAATTGAAAAGCTCAAAAGGAAAAAATCGAAAAACCGAGAAATCCAAAAATCGAAACATCGAAAAATTCAAAAACTGAGACTTCGAGAAAAGTTAAAAATTAAAAAATTGAACAATCAAAACAACGAAACATCTGAATTCAATAAATTGAGAAATTAAAAAATTGAATAATCGAAAAATTTTAACAAAGAAAAACAGAAAATCGAAAATTAAAATTCAAAAAATCGAAAAATTGAAATATACCTAGAAGAATTGAAAACTCGAAATTTCGAAAAGCATAGAAATTTAAAAAATGAAATATTAAAACATCGAAAAGTGCAAAAATTGAGAAATCGAAGCATTAAACAGTCGCAGAATTGAAAAATCTAAAGTTTACAATAAATTGAAAATCCAAAAAGTAAAAAATCGTGAAATCAAAAAAAATCCATCAATTCAAAAATCGAAAAGTCGAAAAATCTAAAATTTGAAACATTGAAAAGTTAAAATATTCTAAAACTGAAAATGGAGAAATCTAAACATGAAAAAATTAAAAAAATTCAAATTCGAAGATCTAAAATTTAAAAATCGAAAAACTGAAAAATTAACGAATCGAGAAGTCGAAAATTTAAAAAATTGGAAAATTGAAAAATCGGATAAATCAAAAATCAAAACATTAGTATTAAGACCCACCACTGACCCGGAAATGACCGGCATTCAGGCAAGACTTCTATCATTACGGGTACTAAGACCAAGTAATGATATGAATTGATTAGATTAACAGAACAACTTTCGAGATTCTAGAATTACAGCATACAAATTAGTCTGCTATTATTCTCTAATCTCACCCCATCCCCAAAAGTCCAGCGTAACTACCGACCATTTATCCGCGCATCACATGAAAAGTGACCTACACTACTCTGACCTACTGGTGCTAATCTAATCTGACTGACATGATCAGACTGTTCAAGAAACTTACGAACAATATGACATGTTCCTAACAAAACAGCTTTTTGAATTTTGACAATTATTGAATCATTCAAATGCAAAGACTTTAAATTCTCAACTAAGCTATTTGGAACTACACCTACATTAGAGATAACTAGGGGTAGAATTGAAATTTTTTTAAGATTCAACATGGATTTCATTTCTATCGATAATTGTAGATATTTTGAAATCTTGGTGTCGTATGTTTGAATAATGTTGTTTGTGTTAGGAATAGCAATGTCAATAAGAATGGCTTCGTTCGTGTGTTTTTTGATAAGTATGATGTCTGGTCTGTTAGCTGTAATGTTTAAGTCTGTAAGTATTGTACGATCCCAGTATAATTTGTATTTGTTATTTTCAAGGAATGGAGACGGAATGTAAGTGTAATAGGGTGTCGTATCTTCGATTAAGTTCATAAGTGTTGCTAATTCTTTGTGAATGATTTTGGCTGCGTTGTCGTGTCTAGCTTTGTAATCAGTTTGTGCTAGGATGCTGCAAGAAGAGATTATGTGCTGGATCGTTTCAGGTTTTGCTTTGCATAGGCGACAGCAGTCGTTTTTTATGTTCGGATCTTTGATGATGTATTTTCTATAATTCTTGGTATTGATTACTTGGTCTTGAATAGCAAACACAAATCCTTCTGTTTCGGCATACAAACTTGATTTTTTTAACCAAATCAATGACATCTTCTTATTGACATGATTTTCTTCTAAGTCTTTGTAGAATTTTCCATGTAGTTGTTTTTGTTTTAGCCCACTTATTATTTTATCTATTGTGTGGGGGGTGTGGATTTCTTCGGTGTTCGACAGATTTAAGGGTGTGTGGTTCAAATCTGCTCTTGTGATGGTGCGAAACATTTCATTTCTTTCCGCTCGTTTCAAGAAATACTTCTTCAAATCTGAAATTTGTATCTGATTATTATTATTATTATTATTAATTATTTTATTATTGACTAGCAGTTACCCGCAGCTCCGCTTGCGTGGATTTCCCAATTAGGACACATTATTTTTCATCCTCTGATTTATTTTTTGATTTAAATTTTATTATCCACCCACCATCCTTAGGTGGATGAAATAAGGACTGAAAGGTTGGAGTTAAGAGCCCCGTGAATTTTTAAATCGAGGAGGGGGGTGAAACAAAGCTATTTTATAACATAGGAGTATAATATAGCGCATGGTCATAGCAATTCCCATGTTAAATTTTATACTCCATGTTAACTTATGTTTGAGTAAAGATTCAAAGCTGAAATTTTTATTGGATATAATTTGGGTTATCTTTTGTCTATTTTATTAAAAGTCATGTTTCAAATTAAAGGATATTTCTTTGAAAAAGTTAAAATATTTGGATATTTTTGTCGCTAATGGCTGTAGGCAGCCATGTAAAAAC